CTAACTCACTATGACATTTTGATAGAGGATTTGGTGTTGAGAAAAGCCCCAGCAGAGGCTGGGGTGACCTTTCCTAAATCGGATATATTTTGGAGGCGTTTTACCTATTTTTCCTGCTTTTTTCTTTCGCACTCATATTGCAGTTCCACTTCAGTAACGCGTGACACATATTTGCACGCTAACGTTTAACGTTTGTCTATGCCTCCAAAAAAAAAAGGACGACCCGAAAAACTATTTAGGGAAGAAAGGGTGAGTGAAATCCTTTTTCTTTGGAGGTGGGTTGGTTGGTTCAGGGGGAGTCTTAGCACTCGGGTAAACCTAGCATTCCTACTCCATTATTCCCGTCTCTTGATCAGATCACATTCTTTTTAATCACTTCACAGGCAGCGTCTCCACAGAGAACCGAGAGAGAAGCCGAGACAGTCTTAATTAAAAAACAGAGGTAGAAACACTGTTTGCCATCTTTTTCTTCTAATGGGAACGGGAGCCATTTCCATGCAATGAGATCTGTCCTCATTGTTTTGAGAGAGTGTTCTTTCATTTCCAAGAAAAAGCTTTTTTTTTTTTTTTCTTTTTGTAGCCTTTGCTTTTTAGACCGAATAGAAGGAGGGAATATAAGACGAGAGAAAAGCTGTTTCACAGTTAAGTTGCAACACATTGGAGGAATTGTAGAATGGTGTATAGAAAAAGGTGTTAACAGAGGAAAAATGCAGTCAAAAAGAACAGAGCCCCTTTTAATAGCAAAGTACGTATTTAAGACTAGTTTCTGTCTTTTGGGTGGAAAAGAGAGTATATTAACAATTGAGATTGACTTTTCTATAGCTGGTTTGAAGAAAGACGCCTGCATGTGATTTTTTCAAAGTCCTTTTTGTCAGGCATCTTGAGCACTTGAGGATGTCTGGATAATATGCAGTGACTTGCTGTAGCAAACAGTGATTTATATATTTATTTTTGTGAGAAGAAATTGATGGGCACACTAAGTTACCAGGCTGATTGTCAATGAAATGTCTTCTGATGCGAAATATCAATATGAAAGCTAGAGGTGCTCTCAGCATCCCCGGATACTTGCCTCCTATCAAAACAAGCGTAGCTCTGAGCTGTTTAGCTCTTTTGTGCCTTGCTTTATAATTCATAGGCATGTAATGATTCACATGCATAGCCAAGAATGTAGAGACACAGGCAAATCCAGAGGAGGCATCTCTCTCAGCACTTCCAAGTGTCAAGAAATGCATAATTCATCTCAAACTGCGCGTTTTATTCCGGACCCGCATTAACTGATGTTGTGTTAAGGATCCGAAGAAAAGCAACAAACACGGACAGTTGCTCACAAAATCTCTGCATAAATTCTATTTTTCTGCTACCTGAAAGAAAGAAAAAAGAGAATGAGGAAGCTGGTTGTATAATTACAGCTTCCATATTGTATTTGATACTTTTTAAAGGCTGAATTCAAACAAAAACAAATCATAGGCAGCCGCTGACAAGGTAGACACGTGAGGGAGAGTGTGTGTTTTGTGAAGATTGCTTGTTTTATGATGTGCAGTGGGTTTTGTGTTAATGTCGCTGGAATGTTGTGTGCGCCTCACACACTCACCCAGCGCCCACAGGCCCTGGAGGCACAGCTGCTGGCTCTATGATCTTACACCAGGAGATGCAGAAATGATCACAGGAGAATACTGTAATCTAGCCCTCGCTTCCCTGCCAAACGTGTGTTTTTGGAGACGTACATTACTCTTGGCTTGCATAAATGACCCCCCGCCCCACTTCGCCACTGCACACTAGAGGTGTGCGATATTGACAAAAAATAATATCTCGATATTTTCTGGGATTTTATCGATGACGATAATCAGACGATATTTTGCTGAGTGTGTTATTGTGCTGGTACCTTAAGGACTGCCGAAGACAGCTGACTCCTAATGTTTTTAATATTCTTCATATTCTGTGTGGTGGTCAGTTCATACTGATAGAAATTAATCTTTTCCAATAAGTTTAAACAGATTTTTACATTTTATGGGTATTTTTACCTTTATAAAGCCATTTTTTCTAGAAGTGTCCATTATCTTTTGAGTCAAATTCTTACATTTAATCAGGGAATTAGAATAATAAGACATTTGGGCTGTTACCAAGCAAATGAAATCAACACAGAAGCTGCATCTGAAGTGGCATTTAGATGTATTT